CCTTCTCCTCCATTCCTTTTTGCCTCCTGGGCCTCAGGGAAGCCTCCTGGGTGTAGCAGTAAGACAGTGGAGGGGGGGGAATCCCACCACAGCTGATCCTCGGAACAGCTGATCATCATGAGGGAAAAAAAGAAATACCGGATCGGCCAAGCTGATAGCTGTTTTTTTACTACCAGTTCACTCGAACCGGTAGAATCCCACCGCTGGATCAAGGAGAAATTCAACCTGGAAATAAGGAGAAATTTCCTGACAGCAAGAGTAATCAACCCATGGAACAGAAGTTGCCTTCAGAAGTTGTGGGAGCTTCATCCCGGGAAGCTTTCAAGAAGAGACTGGACGGCCATTTTGTCAGAAATGGTGTAGGGCCTCCTGCTTGGGTGCTGGTGGGGAGGTGGACTAGATGACCTACAAAGTCCCTTTCCACCTCGGTTAATCTAACACGGGCAAGCAGCCTGATTTAAAATCCTGATCTTTCTATGACAAAGTGAGGTGTGAAGATGATCCAAACATCTCAGATCCAGACAGAGTTAGGATATCCTTCATGCTTTGCCAATGAAAAAAGATGAAACTTTCCCATCCATTAACTTACCATGAATGTTGGAAATTCCCTTGTCATCTCCCTGTGGATAGTCCAAGGATTTCTGCTCAGACCCAGAAAAATTCAGGGCTGGCTCTTTCCCCGACACCTGAAACAGAAAAGAAAGTGCTAACGTCAAAGAAGCAGAGAGGCCTTAAAGGACAACTGGTTGGCACCACCCCTCCCAGTAAGTTGGGAAGCCCCCTCAATTTAACAGATAATCAGAGGTGGAAGGGACCTTGTAGGTCATCTAGTCCAACCCCCTATCCAAGCGGGAGACCCTACACCATTTCTGACAAATGGCAGTCCAATCTCTTCTTGAAAGTCTCAAGTGATGAAGCTCCCACAACTTCCGAGAGCAACTTCTGTTCCATTGGCTGATTGTTCTCACTGTCAGAAAATTTCTCCTTATCTGCAGGTTGAATCTCTCCTTGTTCAGTTTCCATCCGTTATTCCTTGTCCGGCCTACAGGCGCTTTGGAAAATAGCTTCACTCCTTCCTCTCTGTGGCAGCCCCTCAAATATTGGAAGACCGCTATCCTGTCTCCCCTGATCCTTCTCTTCAATAGACTAGCCAGGCCCAGTTCCTGTAACTGTTCTTCATATGTTTTAGTCTCCGGTCCCCTCATCATCCTGGTTGCTCTGTTCTGCACTTTTTCTACAGCCTCAACATCTTTTTTGATAGTGTGGTGACCAAAACTGGACGCAGTACTCTAGTTGTGGTCTCACTATAGCTTCATACTAACCAGCTGTATTTCAGCTTGGTATGGAAATTGCACCATTAGAGAAAAGAAGGCACTACAGAGGGTGGTGAAAACCGCCCAACGCATTATAGGGATCCCACTTCCTGCCATTGTGGACATTCAGATGAAAAGATGTCTGCGAAAAGCTCACAACATCGTGAAGGACTCCTCCCATCCAGCCCGTAAACTGTTTACTCTGGGAAGAGGCTCAGATGCCTGCAGTCCAAGACTAGCAGGCTAAGGAATAGCTTCTATCACACAGCCGTTTCCTTACTGAATTCCATAATTCATTTACCTCCACATACACACTGATACTTCCTCTGATAATATATATCTTGTATAAACTCCTAGTGCATTGTACTTATACTTAATACGTCTATGCGTTATACCAAAATTCAATACGTTCATAAACACTTTGTACAGTCGTATATATTCCTTCCGTAGATAGATATGTATATTCCCAGATTTATATTCATTGCTGTTTTGCACTGCTGGTTAGATGCTAACTACATTTCGCTGCCTGTGTTCATGGCAATGACAATAAAGTTGAATCTGATCCGATCTGATCGAGTGGCATTAGTATCTCACTTGATCTTGATTGTATCTCTCTGTTAATGCCGTTTAGGATTGTTAATGCGATTTAGGATTGTATTAGCTTTCCTCTACTCCCACCCCTTTGCAAAAAGCAGACCCTGGTCCAACTATTTTCTAAAGCACCAGAAGGCCAGACAAGAAACAATGGATGAGAAAATTCCATTGCAGGAAGAAATTATTAAGAAAATATTGGAATGTGTTGAGATGAGTAGATTGACATTTGAAATTAGAGAGAAAAATGGTAAACAATTTTATAAAATTTGGGACCTTTTCTATCAATGGTTGGATGATAAAATACAATAATAGAATATTTAGAATGTTAGATAATAAGGAATATCTTTGTTTTTTCTTTTTCTTTTGTTATTTGATATTATATCTATAAAGTGTTTTTTAGGATAGATTTGGTACGATTATATGATTTGTTATAGAATAAACTACCTAAATTATAGTTATCTCATAAAGTATGAATGAATAAAATCATAGTCAAATGATTTTTTAATAATGATATGAGGACATACAAGTTTGGATTGATAATATGAGTTATTATGTAACATAACCGTAATTGAGACTACGAAATGAATGCACAAAACTGATGAACCAACCGACACACTGTTTGTATATATGTATGGAAGAGAGCTGATGTTTTTATGCTTTGTTTGTTTTGTTTGTTTTTTAAAAAAACCAATAAAATTGTTTTCAAAAAAAAAGAAAAAGGAACAATGGATGGAAACTAACCAAGGAGAGAAGCAAGCTAGAACTAAGGAGAAATCGCCCAAGGGTGAGAGCAATCGAGCAATGGAACAGAAGTTGCCTTCAGAAGTTGTGGGGGCTCCATCCCTGGAGGCTTTCAAAGAGACTGGACAACCATTTGCCTGAAATAGTATTGGGTCTCCTCTTTGAGCAGGGGGTTGGACTAGAAGACCTCCAAGGTCCTTTCCAACTTTATTACTCCGTTACGTTCCTCTTGTAAAACAGGAATCTGCAGATAATCCTCTACTTACAACTGAACCCAACGTTTCCATCATTAAGCAAAGCAATCGTTAAATGAGTTTTGACCTTCCTTGCCACCGTTGCTAAGCGAATCTGGTGGGGAATGGAAGGGTTTATACTCATTGCAGACAGCTGGTCATTTGCAATTTTTCGGAGAGTCGCTGACGTGGAGGCAACCCGAACGGTGTAGGAGTATGAAGGGATTTCCAGAGAAACCCAGATGCAGACGACACAGACTCATCCCCAACAGCCTGCGCCTGTCTTCTACAACAGGGAAGGGACACAACACGGAAATATCCTGCAGAAAGCACAGCTCCACGACATAATCCTTTCGGCAGTTTTAAGTTGGCTCCACACCCATTTGCACCACTTGGGAGACCCTGAGGACACAGGCAAACCTCCAAGTGGCCTCAGGGGCTCTCAAAGAGAATGCCAATTGACCAGCGGTCTGTCAGGATTCCGGCAGTCACCCCCATTTAAATCATGAGTCTCGAGCCAAACTCCTAAAACTTCCAAAGGATTTATTGGGAGTAAACATGTCCGGCGCTGCCTGGGTGTAGCTGACTCTGAGACACATCCTTCATTGTCACTCTTGACCCTGTTTTTTCCCCATCCCCCTGGGTGTATCCTAATTCATATTGTCCAATGGGATACATCCATAGCCCAGAGTCATCAATCATGCTCTCCAGTTCAAATTTTGCACAGCAGAAACTTCAGTCACCTAGAAACTATCTTTGAAAACATTTATGGAATGTAAGCTGCCACGCTGCTCCCCCTTCCCTTTCTGTTGGCAACTCTAAAAAGACCATAGAAATATTTTATGAGTTGACACTGTCTGCAAGGAGTATAAATCCTTCTATTCCTCCCCATCCAGTCAGAGCTGAAGAAGCTTCTTGGATGAGAAGCAAAACATCTTCAAGGAATAACAAAAGAAAGTCCACTTGCCTCTTTCAAAAAGCACCTTTGGGATGACTTAGGTGGGTTTGTATTTTTAATCCTACCAGCCGCCCAGAGTCACTTGTGGGTAACTATATAAATTAATATAAATGTATGTATGAATGAATGTTTAAACACGTGTTTCTCAACCCTGACACCTTGGATGGACTTCAACTCCTAGAATTCCCCATCCAGCACACAGGTAATTTTCACATTACAATTGATAGCTCAGCAACCGTTGAAGCTACGATGGACCCCCCAAAAAAGTGTTGTGGTTCGCCGGCAACAGGTGTGGACAGCTGAGGTCTCGGAGAGCGAGGACTCAGATGAGGGGCCTGCGTGTGATGCAGGGATGGGGCCAGGACCATCAGGGAGTGGAATGCTGCCTTCGGAGATTGTGGAGGCTGGCAGCAATGATGAAGAGGTTCCCGAGGAGCCTGTGCCCAGTGCGCACCTGCAGGGCTGCTCGAAGGAAAGAGCAGCTGCAGCAACACAGGAGACTCGGGAGTAAGGCTGCAAGGTAATGGCCCCTCCCTCAAGAGATAAAAGCCAGCTGAGAAACCGGAGTTCTTTGCAGGAAGCAAAGAAGTTTTTGCCCTCAAGCCTTGTGGACGTTCGGAATATCTTGGTTGGTGTTTGGAGACTCTTTGTGTTTGAAATATTTTTTGGCAACTTTATCTAGTGAACTTGGCAGCCTTGCACCACCTCGGTCTTATCAGAGACCAAGACTTGTTCTTATCAGAGACAATTAGTTTGAAACAGCCTTTTAACCATGAAGGAACAGAATTCGGAAAGAATCATTAAAAGGTTTGGCTGTTACCTCTGTTTTGAGTGTGTTTCCTTGGAACAAGGTTTGGGCCAGAACAAAAGGTACTTAGAACTTGAATTTGAAGTTTCAAGGGTCCGCCCTAACCCTACTGGGGTCACATGACTGCATTTTGGGTGCTTGCCAACCAGTCTGCACATACCACTTTTTACAGCATCCCGCGATCACGTGATTGGAATTGACAACATTTGTGCCAAAACCCACCATTTTACAACTGGATTCTGGCAATAATACGCCCATAGCGAACAACGGCTTTGCTTAACGAATAGGGAAAGGCTCCATGATGATCGTTAAGTCAAAGACTACATGGACTAACTAGGCAATTCTGGGGGTTGAAGTCCTTTACCATCTTCAAGTTGCCAAGGTGGAGAATGGCTGGTCTATGCAATTCTAGCTAGGGCCACAGCCTCCGATCCCTCATCCCAAACCACGCGCCCTTCTCACCTGCTCAGCCGACATCTCAGGTACCCATTCCTTCTGCCGGAAGCCCTCGGCCAGAGCCACTGCCTGGGCACAGGTTTGGGGGCAACCCTCCACCACCCAGCTCTGGAGATCGGAGGGCAGGATGGCCAGGAACTGCTCCAAGATCAGCAACTCCAGGATCTGCTCCTTGGTATGCCTCTCCGGCTTCAGCCACCGGCAGCACAGGAACCAGAGGCGGCTGCAGGCCTCGCGGGGATCTCCGGCTTCCTGGTAGCGGAATTGGCGGAAGTGCTGGCGTTGAGCCTCCGAAACGACAGTGTCTGCCTCTGGAACCTCTTCTTTCGGCGGCTTGAAGGGTTCCGGGTTTCCGTGAGGCTCTTGGGATCCCCCACCGAAATCGGGCTGGGTTTGGGTCTCCTGTTCTTCGGTGAACTGGGTACCTTCGGCCTTCACCCCGACAGAGGCTGGAATTATCCCAGAAGTAGCGCGGAGGGAGGAGCGCAGTTCTCGTAGGCTTGAGCAGCCGAGTCCAGGAGCCTCCACTGCCTTAAGTAAGTCTTTCCACCGGCTCTCCTCACAGATGGGACCCCCCAGGTCCGACTCTTCTTTACCCAAGTCTCTTGGGGAGTTGATCAGGAAAGCGCTGGTACTTCCAGCCGGGAAGGTTCCAGAATGTTCGCTCCCTTTCGCTCCTCCTCTGGCATCTGTGGTCTCCCGCCAGGCATCCTCCCATCCCGCCATCTCCTCCTCAGCTGGCACATCTGCCTCCTCTCCCTGCTCCTCCACTTCCTCATCCAAGGTCCTCTCTGGCTTTCGCCTGGCCTGGCTTGCAGGCCCCAAATCCAACAGGGCTCCCTCTTCCATCGCCATTCTCCACAAGGTTAATGGGCAACCCTCAGCCTATCCCCGCGGGACTTTGGGGATTACAGGAAATTTGCAAGGAAGCCAGTAATTAGAGGTAGGTGCGTTGCACAATGCCAACGAGCTTCTTTCTGAAAAGGGGGGAAGGGAATACGGTAGAAATTACAATGGTTTTTTTGTTGCTAAGTGTTGTTTGGGCATGATACAAAACTAACAAAGTCCCCAAAGTAGAATAAATTCCTTTTTAATGCCTCCAACTTGGCCCCCAATGTCCAGTTATCCTTGGCTGGAGATCATACTCTTCCCAAAACCAGTCTATGAAGGGAAGAAATGCAGTCTGAACCCAAAGTAAAGATAATTAGAAATAAAAAAACCCAACACAAACCATACTGAAGTAACTAACAGGCAGGCCAGGATGATAAATTGCAGACTTCCGAAAGATAACACAGCACCCACGGTTGGGAGGATGCCAACTCAGATAAGCCTCGCAGGCTTTGCTTCCAGCAAGGTGCTGTGTGCGGACGCCCCTCTTATATCCTGTTCTCCCAGCTGCAACTAATGAAAGGGATCAGAGCCTTTTTCTCTCCCATAAACCACGTTGCTCCCTTCTCCTTTTCTCCCTGCATGCCCTAGAACAGGGGTCCCCAACCACCGGGCCGCGGACCGGTACCAGTCCGTGGAACATTTTCTACCAGGCCGCCGGTTTGCTGGGTGCCGCCATCTTGTTTTGATGAGAAAGTGCTTCCGGTGAGCTTTTCCAGTTAGAAAGCGGCGTTTGGGTCCTGAAGGAATCCTCGCGCCTTAGTTTCATCGAGGGGGGGCGGCTTCGAACAAAACTAAGGTGCAAGGATTCTTTCAGCACCCAAGGCAAGGCGAGCCGAGCGACCGTCCCAAAGCCGTCCCGAAGCCCATCGACAAAGGTATAAAGGAGGAGTTAAAGGTGGCGGGAAGAAGCGGGGACGGCTGGCTGGCCGGTCGCTCGGCTCGCCTTGCCATGCGTGCTGATGCTGGTACCGGGCCGCGGATCATTTTGTGATGCTGGTACCGGGCCGTGGCACAAAAAAGGTTGGGGGCCACTGCCCTAGAATAAAGAGGAGGTGGCCCTGGGTCTTCCTATGAATGCCCAGCTAGACTGTTCCCTTCCCCCGTTTCTTCCATAGCCACTGGAGCCACACTCCCACACCGTGTCAGCTAGGCTCCATCTTCACCTCAGAATCAGACTCCAACAAGGGCATGACAGCCACATTTTGAGCCTGGGAAAATGGGAGGGGGGAACTCCTTGGAGCGTATGTAGTTAGACATAACAACATTCTTTTTCTAAGTCAAGGTCATGTTATTTCTGCACCTGGGTGAGGGGAGGTTTCGAGTTGGGACGGATGGTGATTGGGGCATGTGAGGTGAGGATGGATGCAGGGGGTGGATTTGTAGTTTTTACTTATCGCAAGGAAGCCGGGAACTTTCAGATTCGGGATTCCCCAGACGTGCCAGTTTACTATCCAATTAAAACAGAACTTTTGTGAAGATGTCTGTTGGAGTGGAGGTTTTCTGGAATGCTGACAACACGATTGTTAAGTGAATCTGTGGTTTCCCCATTGCTTGTCAGAAGGTCACAAAAGGGGATGACATGACCCTGGAACACTGCAACCGTCATAAAGGTGAGTCAGTTGTCAAACACCCAAATGTAAATCACGTGACCATGGGGAAACTGCAACGGTTGTAAGTGTGAAAAACGGTCATAAGTCACTTTTCCCACTGCCCTTGTAACTTCGAACGGTCACTAAGTGAATGGCTGTAAATTGAGGACTATCCATACTTCCTACCCAATCCCTTTTTTAAAAAATTGTCAGTCTTTCCAGGTAGATCAGAATGAAAATCCATCCAGATAAACTATTTTATAGTAAGGCTACATTAGCAAGAATCTTGCAAGTATAAATCCCTTGGTATCTCTCTCTCTTTTTTTTAACAGCTGGTAAACTAAAGGTGGTTTAGTTTGGAGTTTCTTTCTCTGCCAGCTGTTATTCCGCAGTGGGCTCCCCGGTCCTTTATCTCAGGGGTCCCCAACCACTGGTCCCTGGACCGGTACCGGTCCGTGGATCATTTTTTACCGGGCTGCAAAGCTTGGGCGCCGCCATCTTGTTTCGACGGCGCTTTCGGGTTTTCAGTTGGAAAGCGGCGTTTGGGTGCTCGCGCCTTAGTTTCGTTGAGGGGGGGCGGCTTCAAACGAAGAGCCGTCCCGATGGCGGTGGAGTCTCGCGTTACTCAGGTACCGGTCCGTGGAAGAATAAATAATCGTGAAACCGGTCCCTGGTTCAAAAAAGGTTGGGGGCCGCTGCTTTATCTGATCATTCCCTAGGCAGCATCTCTTCCCCCTCAGCCAACATTTTCTACCATCACCATTTAAATGTATAGGCAGCGTTTATCCGTACATAAGTATTGATACACATACACACACGCACAGAGGTAAAGATTCCCCTCACACATATGTGCTAGTCGTTTCTGGCTCTAGGGGGCGGTGCTCATCTCCGTTACAAAGCCAAAGAGCCAGCGACGTCTCCTTCATCATGACTAAACCCCAAAGGCGCACTTGTTACCTTCCCACCAAAGTGGTCCCTGTTTTTCTATTTGCATTTTTACATGCTTTCGAACTGCTAGGTTCGCAGAAGCTGGGACAAGTAACGGGAGCTCACTCCGTTACACAGTGTTAGGGATTCAAACCGCCAGACTTCCAACCTTTCTGATCGACAAGCTCAGCATCTTAGCCACTGAGCCATTCCTATACACATATACACACACAGGAATAGAATAGAATAGAATAGAATAGGAATAGAACAGAACAGAACAGAACAGAACAGAACAGAACAGAACAGAATAGAATAGAATAGAATAGGGAATAGAATAGGAATAGGATAGAATAGAATAGAATAGAATAGAATAGAATAGAATAGAATAGAATAGAATAATTTTATTGGCCAAGTGTGATTGGACACACAAGGAATTTGTCTTGGTGCAAATACTCTCAGTGTGCATAAAAGAAAAGATACATTCGTCAAGAGTCAAGAATCACAAGGTACAACACTTAATGATAGTCATAGGGTACAATAAGCAATCAAATCATACTAGGAAACAGTCCATATAGATTGTAAGGATACAAGCAACAAAGTTACAGTCATACAATCACAAGTGAGAGGGGATGGGCGAGAAAGAGTGATGAGAAGGTTAATAGTAATAGAAGTGCAGACTTTGTAAATAGTTGGACAGTGTTTGAGGGAATTATTTGTTTAGCAGAGTGATGGCTTTCAGGGAAAAACCGTCCTTGTGTCTAGTTCTGGTGTGCAGTGCCCTATAGCGTCCTTTTGAGGGAAGGAGTTGAAACAGTTTATGTCCAGGATGTGAGAGGTCTGTAAATATTTTCACAGCCCTCTTTTTCACTCGTGCAGTATACAGATCCTCGATTGAAGGCAGGTTGGTAGTAATTGTTTTTTCTGCAGTCCTAATTATCCTCTGAAGTCTGTGTCTGTCCTGTTGGGCTGCAGAGCCAAACCAGACAGTTATAGAGGTGCAGATGATAGACTCAATAATTCCTCTGTAGAACTGTATCAGCAGCTCCTTGGGCAGTTTGAGCTTTCTGAGTTGGCACAGAAAGAACATTCTTTGACATATGGTGTGTGTGTGTGTGTGTGTGTGTGTGTGTGTGTGTACATACACATATTTATACACAAATACATATGCACGTGTGTCTGTGTGTATATATGTACGTATGTATATGTATATAGCATGTGTGTATTATGGATGTGGGTGGGTGGGTAGGTGGTAGGTAGGTAGATAGATAGATAGATAGATAGATAGATAGAT